ACTACTACTAACTAACTAACTAACTAACTAACTAACTAACTACTAACTAACTAACTAACTAACTAACTAACTAACTACTAACTAACTACTACTAACTAACTAACTATAACTACTAACTAACTAACTAACTAACTACTAACTAACTAACTAACTAACTAACTAACTAACTAACTAACTAACTAACTAACTACTAACTAACTAACTAACTAACTAACTAACTACTCTAACTAACTAACTAACACTAACTAACTACTAACTAACTACTACTAACTAACTAACTAACTAACTAACTACTAACTAACTAACTAACTAACTACTACTAACTAACTAACTAACTAACTAACTAACTAACCTACTAACTAACTAACTAATTAACTACTAACTAACTAACTAACTAACTAATTAACTGACTAACTAACTAACTAACTAACTAACTAACTAACTAACTAACTACTAACTAACTACTATAACTAACTAACTAACTAACTAACTAACTAACTAACTAAACTACTAACTTACTAACTAACTAACACTAACTAACTACTACAACTAACTAACTAACTAACTAACTAACTAACTAACTAACTAACTACTACTAACTAACTAACTAACTACTACTAAACTAACTAACTAACTAACTAACTACTAACTAACTAACTAACTAACTAACTACTAACTACTAACTACTAACTAACTACCTACTAACTAACTAACTAACTACTAACTAACTAACTAACTAACTAACTACTACTAACTAACTAACTAACTAACACTAACTAACTAACTAACTAACGAACTAACTAACTAACTAACTAACTAACTAACTTACTAACTACTAACTATTATAACTAATAACAAAAAAGCTTGATTGTTTTTCTGCTGAAACAAATCAAATTTTAAAATTTCCATCAAATACCAGGTGAACAGAATTCAGCAGCAGGTTACATTTTTTATTTTAACACATCGAAGTATGTGCATAACTTAAGGCTCTAGTAATATTTCAAATAGTTACGCATCTGAAATATCATTCTACAACCAAGAATAGCACAACTTAGGGAGGTCGCATAAAGTGAAATAGAAAAATTAATAAGTAGAGCCCTAATTTACGCTAAGTTTTTCTGAACAAAAAATAATTATCTACAAAAAACGTGCCTGCTTAAATTACTGAACGCCTGTTATTACAAAAAGCAAATTCAATTTACACATTTTGGATGAAAGTAGTGTGACTGACATCAACCAGAATTTTGTTTCCAGGGAAGAAACATGCATTTAATTAATAGAATTTTATGATGAAAGTAAAACATTGCATATGTTTCAAAAATTATGTACATGTTTTAATAGGATTTTAATATGGATTTTAATTAAAAATATTTAAATTAGTAAATATTTATGTTATAGGCAAATAAAATAAATTGTATATATATTTTCAAATTTAAGATGAGTAGCAGAAATTTTCTAAACATAATTAAACAATTTTGTTTTTATACTGAAAACAATTTTGTTGTAGAAGATTTTTAACGACATATTAGTTGCTAGAGTAGTAAATGTCGATTACATTGTTTGTAAATGTAAATAATATTAAACTTAAATATCAAATCTAATGTTTATTTACCCCTTTGAATTCAAAATATTTTTTATTTAATTAGAAATGTTAAGTTGTATTCATTTTAATTTGATGGATAAGTTTTGTGACATTTTTGAAATATTAAATTGCAACGACAACAGTATTTTAAATTTGTGTCTAGAATATCTGCATTATATTTTTTATAAAAAATTTTGTGTTAAATGAAAAAAATGCAAAAGCAGATGTTTTATATACATAAGTTCATTTTGAATAGAGTGATATGAGTGATTGATAAACCTGATTAAAACTAGTATTGGCACAAGAGAAAGTTGAATTGCAACAAAAAAATAAAGACAACAAAAATGAAAGTTTATACCGAAACGAACAAATAACACCCTTCACTTACAGAGTTAAATAAGTACCAAGGATTATTATTAGGATATTACAGAAATATATGATACCCTATATAGTATCATATAGAATAAGAAAAATACTGATTCTTTCCATCTTTTTCGTGCACCATCCTACTTCTATCATTAATTTAATATATATTTTTGTAATTAAGAATAGAAAATAACCCCAAAACAGGAAATTTAATTGTTTTTAATAAATGTTTTTGTAAATTAGATTTTTTGTTAATGTGGTAAACAAATTTAATAAATTATAGGATAAATTACCTTTTTTAATAAATAATTATTTGTATACATATTTACATATAACGAAACAAACAATAAAAATTTGTGGTTTAACTTCGTAACGGTTTTGCGTCAGTATGTACAAAAACCTTATAAAAAAAACTAGAAATATTGATGACTAAAATTTGGTATTGTATATTTTTTCTTTATCGATTTGAAAAAATTTTGCGGATTTTTTTGCACTATTTAAAAATTTTGAACCATTGAGAAAAAAAAAGTGGGAAATTCACAAAATGTAAATGACGATAGTGACTTATCATGAATAATATATGTTGAGTAGAAGATTAAAAAAAACGGCCATTATAATGCATTATTAGTATTTATATTAATTTCTTTGTATGAACACATTATGACGTTTTTGATTTTATTTGTTTTAAGTGTTTTACAAAAGGCTCGTCATCTCATTTGCTCTGCAGTTCGGAATGACTGTTATAAAATAGTGATTTTAATTAACGCACAAAATATTGGCCCTACACCCACCTTAAAGTATACCAATCGGCTTAGAATTTTTAAGTCGAATATGCCATGTTCGTCTGTCTGTCTATGTAAACTTTGTAATCTAAGTATAGGTCACATTTTTTTTAAGATAATTCAATGAAATTCGGTATGCTTAACGCCCAAGGAAGACCATAGTTGATTTTGTTTGAAATTAGTCCATTATTTCGCCTAACACCACATACAATCGGACCCTCCGATTTAGCCTTTTAGCCCTTAGTTACGTATCTCGAATGAAAGTGGCACAATTAAGTTTTAATGATTTTTCACGTCAGTTAGTACATCTATCTATCTATCTATCTATCTATCTATCTATCTATCTATCTATCCATCTATCTCTATCTATCTATCTATCTATCTCTATCTATCTATCTATCTATCTATCTATCTATCTATCTATCTATCTCGTCTATCTATCTATCTTCTATCTATCTATCTATCTATCTATCTATCTATCTATCTACTATCTATCTATCTATCTATCTATCTATCTATCTATCTATCTATCTAACAATCTATCTATATATCTATCTATCTATCTATCTATCTATCTATCTATCTATCTATCTATCTATCTATCTATCTATCTATCTATCTATCTATCTATCTATCTATCTATCTATCTATCTATCTATCTATCTATCTATCTATCTATCTATCTATCTATCTATCTACAATCTATCTATCTATCTATCTATCTATCTATCTATCTATCTATCTATCTATCTATCTATCTATCTATCTATCTATCTATCTATCTATCTATCTATCTATCTAACAATCTATCTATCTAACAATCTTTCTATCTATCTATCTATGACAAGGCTTTTAAATTATACATCACTTTTCTTTTTAAAATATATTCCAGTATGACAGAAGTTTTCCTTAGAAACTTTTAAGATGCAGTTGCAGCAAATATTTTCAGAATCGTTAATTTCATCAGGTAAAACTTTTTCCAAAACGAACACGTGTTTTTATCTTTTAAATACATTCTCAGTAATTTAACTATTTTAGAAAATTATTATTTCCCAGTATTAATTAAACTTCATTATAAAATACCAATCAATGTCTTATCAATAATTTTGTTTCCGAAAACTCGAAATTGGTAAAACCCTTTATTATATGTATTTTAGAATAATTTTAATAAAAATTGTGTAACAAATAGAAATAAAATAAAAAATTACAATTTTAACAATGTATTTTTCTTGAAACAGTGGGATAAAATTGGAAAATCACAAATATTGGTAAAACCATTTTAATTTTAAAAATTTTAAAAATTTGAATTTGAATAACCCAGGCTAGGTGATGCTACTTTAGACGTAATTGAAAACAAAACTTAAACGTGTAACCTGCCCTGCAGTTCGGCATGTTGGAAGTATCATAATTTCCTAAAATGTTTAAAATATGTCATATTAATTGTGACAAAATTAAAAATATAAAATTTCTAAGATTTTAATAATGATCTATTCATTTTAGATCTTGTTTGTTTTTAAAATTTGTATAACTATTTTAATCTGAACTTTAAACACTGTATAGTACACATTTTAGAAACAAAAATATTTTACTACAAATCCCAACTTGTGAAATATTACACATGATAATAAAAAAGTACAGAATGGATTATGGAGAGGCTATACATCATAAAGTCATCAAAAACATCATCATCGACAATGGCATCACACTTGTTATCAGGAGAATGAGTATTAGAAAATTAAAAACAAAAACTTTACTCACTTATATAAAAAAATACAAACTAATTCAATGCTAATCAATGGATTGATCTTTTAATACTCTTGCTAAATTAATACGAGTTTGTGTAGAGAGTATGATATATAAACAAGGAGAAGTATTATGGATTAAAGACGACCTTAGAGTACTCTACGCCATTGTTAATAAGTAATAAGAATATTTCATCAGTTTTAGGAGTTTTGAAAAATGTTGAACACAGTTTGACAGAATCGATTGAAATTTGTTTTGCAAGATCATAAAAGGTTTGACAAAGATTTTGACAACATTGCTAGTTTGACATCTGCTATGAAATCATATCCCAAAATGGACTACAAAATATTAAAAATAAAAGATGAATTTTGAGAAAAACTCAATATTATTTCATAAATATTTAATTAAGTTGACAAACCACATAACGAATTAAACATACCTTCCCATCCTAGACAGGAGAGAGTAAAAATCAATTTTAAACCAACACATATGAACAATAAATAAGTTTAGTAGCGGCTTAAAGTATTCTTAAACTTGTCGCATCATTCATTCTTAAATAGTTTTTTAAACAGTGAAGACGTGCGTCTTGACAAATCGTTCGATTGTTTTGAGATTCGTTGTAACGGGTTTCTATTTTATAAAATATTTTCGCAAAACAAGTTTACTACCTAAAAAAAAAGTAATAAATTAATAAATTTTGCCCAAAAGAAAGGTACTAACTATACCTATTAGTTATACAAACTAAATATGGTGTAAATTAAATGCTTTAAATCGTTTTACAACTTTTAATTTTTGCATAATTATCATAATATCATAATAATTTTAAAATAAATATTTTCGTTTTTTTTATGTAATCGATAATTTAAATATTATTTACATTTAATTTTGTTGGTAAAAAAAAAACGTAAAAAGATTTTTAAAAAATTGTATAAAAAAGAAAGTGTATTTTAATTTAATAAATATTTATTTAACAGTCTAATTTTGTGATTGAAAGAAACAGATCTAAGTAAAATAAATACTCATTTTTTGGTAAAAGGTTATCTCATTAACAATAAATTTGGTGTTAAATATTAGGTCTTGAAAAAAAATTATCAAGGATTTTAATTACACTTAAAATTTTCCAATAATAAAAAGTAATTAACATAAGTAATGTATAATTAAAGAATGTGGTTATTAGAAAATAAAATTAAAAACAATTTAATAAAATCGAAAATAAATTTGTGATATTCGTGAAATAATAAAATCTGAAATATAAATATGTGTAACCTTCATTCTTCTAAAATATTGTATTAGATTGTTAATTTAAGATTACACAAACCGATAAAACTTGAAAAAAGTAGAAACCCTGAGATCAAGATTTCTTTTTAAAGGATTGAGACGCTTTGAATCCTCAGATTTTCTCCATCACATCTGAGATTTGAGATATCGTGTCCAGAATTTTGAAAAAAAAAATTTTTTCCTTTTTTGTGACGTTATGACAACCCGTAAGACAACTTTATCAAATGCTGTATGCCAACATCTGAAAGTCCATTCTGTCAACTTAAAATAGAAGCTTAACATCATTCGAGATATCTGTACCTAAAGCTTGAAAACTCATGGTTTCAGTATATTCATGGTATTTATACTCTACATTACAATATAGCACACCTTCCTGAAGATGTTTCAATCCATTCAAAATCACTTTCTAAATCGATTTAACGATGTCTGTCCACTCGCCAATTTCAACGAATGATATCTCAGCAATTACAGCAGATTTTTAAAGAAATGTACGAAATGTTGATATCTCGAAGAAGAAAGAAGATACATATGTCAAATGTACAGCCTTTATTTTAAAGCTGACAGAATGAACTTTAATATATTTTATAAATAAAGTTGTCTTGGCGCAGCTATAAAGTCTTAGAAAGGCGTTTTTCCAAACTTTACGACACGATATCTCGATCTTATTCTCTTATAATATGTTATGAACGTTAAAGTAATTTTTGAAAGGAACCTTATGTTGGGGCTAGATTTCAATGTGGATCGATTTTGCCCATTTCATAAGTATATTTGGAGAAAATGACAGAATATCGTGTTCTCGACAGACGTACGGATATGACTAGATCGGCTTTGAATTTAGTAAGGAAAAACCTTATACAGCCTTTAAAGTAAAATCTAATAGGAGGTATGGTCCGTTTTTGAGATTCCAAATTAACTACTTCTGAGTCATGCTCAAGTAGTAAGAAGTAATTTGAAAGAAGTCAAATATAGTATTATAGTATCGTGAATTCCTGACATGATTAGTGATATTATGTCCAAAGCTCCGATGCTACTTAATAAAGGGGTCCAAAGATAGTGGCCTACGAGTGAATCCAAGCATGACAGTACTGGAACTTGTCGCGGTTAAAGAACTATGAAATTTCCTTATCAAAAATGCTAGTATCTAGGAATATTTCCAGATCCAAGTAATTAGGGTTACTTAATATCCAACACAAAGTCAAGAAGGCAACGGTCGCCTACGAAACCTGACGTAAGATGTTGGGATGAAATGGGGACTTAGTTCTAACATATGTAGTTAAATGGATGTACACAACTATAGTACATCTCATTCTTATATAGGGATATCTTGTATGATGGACTTCAACTAATAGGAAGTTTATTGTAGACCAAACTATTCGAAGTTCAGAGATCAGAATGCATTGGAATAATAGGTGTTTTAAGAACTAGTCCTTTAGAAGTTCTGAAAACTTGTATCCTACCTATAAATCTTCATAACTCATCAGAAAGTTGGAGACCAAGAACATATGGATATGCTAAGTGGTTAACGCTTCTGTTCCTTCTAGGAACGAGAGGTATAGGGGTAACCTACCGAGCGAATATACCACCAGAATCATTACAAAAACTGTAGTGTTTTCCGACGAGATATCTGCAATAATGTCAGCCTGTAGGGTACTATAAGAGATCAATATTTGTGGAAACATAGACATTTTTGTCGATAGCCAAGCGGCACTCCTTCCACTAGACTCTCTCTAAACTCTTATACTACCACTTCCCTTTTAGTCAGACAATGCAAGAAATATCTGCTTGTCTGTCATTCACCTGATTGGGTCTCTGCGCCAAGGGAAAATATATCCAACTCCGTTAAGTTTTATCAAAAGCAGTATTCTCAGATTCATTCTTAAAAAGGCAAAAAATAGGCACATATAGAGGGATCAGGTTATTGTGGACTTTTCTCAATGATAAACGTAGAAGACACCATATAACCCGAAATAAGCGGTATATATCGTGCTATCAATATAAGACGACGTGGGCCCTTTATACAGTAGCAGTTGCGAAGACAGGAAAAAGGAAGAGACGAACCCTCATTTTCTCTGCGAATGCCCGCTCTAGCCTTTAAGAGTAACAATTTCATTTTTGGCAGTCACTTCATATCCAACCTAGGTGAGATATCTGGGTCCAAACTAAATAACCTCCTGAGATTTCTCAAGTCTAACGGCTGAATCTATAACATACAGATCTACATCTGACGAGGAGTCCTATCAAAACGGAGTCCATTCGACTCTTGATTGAATCATAATCTATAAAAGGAACTTTCTTGTTCTTCAAATTAAACTTTTAAATTTCCACATATGGAACCAAAACACTAGATTGAATTAGAATCTGTAAGTAGGTTTTGGTATTTTTTAAACAACTTTTAGAATTGTCCATTAAAAAAACAAGAACTGAAAATTTCCGAAGGGGATCTTTCGGTTGATACTTTACGACTTCATTTAAACTTACTTATATAACGGTCATAGAGAGTTTTCATAATGACGTAAATGTACTTTCTATTAATAGTACTTCTCTAAAAAAAAAATAAAAAATTTTGTTTATATAATTTTGATTAAGAAAGCGAATTTCTTTTATACAAATTTCTGGAATCTGTTTAATAAGAAATATTTTGTTAATGCTACAGAAATCAACATTTGTAGACGTAATCTACCACTGGAATTGAATCCAGCAATAAAAAAAAAACTCAAAAAATATCAAAAAAGATTAAAAAAGATTAAAAGCTTTACAACTACAGAAGCACGTATTTTTGACATAATATTTTTCTTAAGAATTTCTAAGAAATTTTACGATTAACTTTATAGCAAAATCTCGAGCCGAAAAAACTCATAAATTAAACTTTATTACAAAATTATATAAATTTAAAAGCTTTTTTTAAGACATACGTGCTTTAAACAATTAATATTAATATAAATTAGTGAGTATATGGCAAATAAATTATAAACATAAAAAATTATATAATTTTTAATGTTTAGAAGTTAGATCTATTAAGTCAGCAAACTATTAACCACACTTTACTATAGAAAGAATATTTTTATAGAAAAACATTTAAAAGCAGAATTTCACTTATTAATAAAACCTAAAACTTTTTACAGATCATGAAACTTTTCTATATCTCTTTGAGCTTATTAATAGCTTTAAGCTGCATGCCATGTGCAAAATCCATGAAGATAAAGATTAAGCCTTCTTATGGTTTTCAACCAGTACCCAGACAGAATAATGCCGAAGTACCCTATCAATGGAATGTACTAGACTATAGTTTTCCCAGCAATCAGGCCAAACAAGAAGCTGAGTCTAGTGGAAATCTAATACCCAGTAATGCTATACCCATAGATGTACAACCACATTATCATAGTAAGTTGTTAGTGGATTTTTATTATTTAAATTTAATTTTGAAATGTTTTTCATTTTAGATAAAAATCTTTTGAGAACCTTTGTTACCATACCTAAATTTCAAGATGGCATTCCTTACACATTAGCCACAGTTTCGGATAAGAAGGGACCTAATGGTCCTTTATTGGAACCGTATCCTAATTATGAATCTCATAATAATAGAAATGGGAAAAAACTGTGATGCTATTACATCCGCTTTTCGTGTGGCGGTAAGTTAAAGTTATCTCCGAGTTCCCCGTCAAGTGTACGCACGGGAACTGAATATCGTTTTTTGGATTTAATTTTTAAATTAAACTTTTTCGTTTAGGTCACCGAATGCAATCAAATGTGGGTAATTGATTCGGGTATGGTTGGTGCCGATGTTCAATGTGCTCCACAGTTACTATTATTCGATTTAAATACCGATCAGCTGATACATCGTTATCGTTTCAACTCTAGTCTCTATATATCCGGAGCCTCATTGTTTGTTACCCCCATAGTGGATGTAAAAGATCCTCCACCAAGAGGTAGTTGCAGACGTGCCATGGTCTATGTAGCCGATGTCAATTATCATGGTTTAGTAGTCTATGATTATATGCAAAATACCGCCTGGCGTATTGAGAATATGTTTATGTATCCCGATCCAAATTATGGTTATCATACGGTCGCTGGTGAAAGTTTCGTTTTAATGGATGGTATTATTGGCATGGCAGCCGATAAACAAAATTTATATTTCCATCCCATGGCTAGTGTAACAGAGTATGCTATACCTTTAAGAATTTTGGATAATGGTACTCTATTCGAACACGATATGGAAAATATGCATGAGACATTCAGACCTTTGGGTAAACGCAGTAGTGAATGCGTTGCCTCGGCTGTGGATAGCAATGGGAATATGTATTGTGTCACCTTAATCCCATCGAGTTGATAGTGTGGAATGTTAATACTCCCTATGATAGTATTAATATAAAAAAGTTACCCATTAGTTCGGAAGAATTGCAATTTGTTAGTGGCATGAAAGTGGTGAGAAATCATCAGGGTAATGAAGAATTATGGATGTTGTCTAATAGATTCCAGGTATTATTGCTTATTTTTGTTTAATAATATTTGAATTATAATTTAAAAATTTCTTAATTTTCTAGAAAATGGCTGCTGGCACCCAAAATTTTAATGAAGTTAATTTCCGCATTGTAGTTCTGCCTCTGGTGGTTGTTAACCCCCTTACACCCAATCAGGATTTACACAATAAACTCGTTTTCAAAAGTTGAGCCTTATTTATAATTTCATAAGTTCATTTTAATTCTAGTATAAGTTATAAATTTCAAGAATTTTATATAAACTAAACTGCATCTGAATGTTGTTAGTAGTACTTTCGTATATTTATTGTAGTTACTTAGCAAAATAAATATTTAAATTGTAAAATATGTTTTTATAAGAAACACGTTTTGATAAGGTAAATATTTAAGTCTGAAGAATTGAAAAGAAATTTGCAAGTGCAAAAACAAAAATTTTTAAGAATTATTTGAACAGACTTTAACAATCTTGACATAGGTGTACCAGCTTATAACAATAGATTAATTTGTGGTAATTAAAAAGTATGCTAATTCGCGTGAATCAACCGATACCGTTACAATATTAAAAGGGATGCACCTAGTATTTATAAATAATTTTAAATTTGTTTTAACGAAGTTGCAGACGATTTTATCGATTTAAAGGGAAAATATGGGTGATTAGGAAATATGTTTGTTTTTCTATAGTCTATAGTCTAGTCTATTGTCTAGTCTATTGTCTAGTCTATAGTCTAGTCTATAGTCTAGTCTATAGTCTAGTCTATAGTCTAGTCTATAGTCTAGTCTATAGTCTAGTCTATTGTCTAGTCTATAGTCTAGTCTATAGTCTAGTCTATTGTCTAGTCTATAGTCTAGTCTAGTCTATAGTCTAGTCTATAGTCTAGTCTATAGTCTAGTCTATAGTCTAGTCTATAGTCTAGTCTATAGTCTAGTCTATAGTCTAGTCTATAGTCTAGTCTATAGTCTAGTCTATAGTCTAGTCTATAGTCTAGTCTATAGTCTAGTCTATAGTCTAGTCTATAGTCTAGTCTAGTCTAGTCTATAGTCTAGTCTATAGTCTAGTCTATAGTCTCTCTATAGTCTAGTCTATAGTCTAGTCTATAGTCTAGTCTATAGTCTAGTCTATAGTCTAGTCTATAGTCTAGTCTATAGTCTAGTCTATAGTCTAGTCTATAGTCTAGTCTATAGTCTAGTCTATAGTCTAGTCTATAGTCTAGTCTATAGTCTAGTCTATAGTCTAGTCTATAGTCTAGTCTATAGTCTAGTCTATAGTCTAGTCTATAGTCTAGTCTATAGTCTAGTCTAGTCTTAGTCTAGTCTATAGTCTAGTCTATAGTCTAGTCTATAGTCAGTCTATAGTCTAGTCTATAGTCTAGTCTATAGTTCTAGTCTATAGTCTAGTCTATAGTCTAGTCTATAGTCTAGTCTATAGTCTAGTCTATAGTCTAGTCTATAGTCTAGTCTATAGTCTAGTATATAGTCTAGTCTATAGTCTAGTCTATAGTCTAGTCTATAGTCTAGTCTATAGTCTAGTCTATAGTCTAGTCTATAGTCTAGTCTATAGTCTAGTCTATAGTCTAGTCTATAGTCTAGTCTATAGTCTAGTCTATAGTCTAGTCTATCTAGTCTATAGTCTAGTCTATAGTCTAGTCTATAGTCTAGTCTATAGTCTAGTCTATAGTCTAGTCTATAGTCTAGTCTATAGTCTAGTCTATAGTCTAGTCTATAGTCTAGTCTATAGTCTAGTCTATAGTCTAGTCTATAGTCTAGTCTATAGTCTAGTCTATAGTCTAGTCTATAGTCTAGTCTATAGTCTAGTCTATAGTCTAGTCTATAGTCTAGTCTATAGTCTAGTCTATAGTCTAGTCTATAGTCTAGTCTATAGTCTAGTCTATAGTCTAGTCTATAGTCTAGTCTATAGTCTAGTCTATAGTCTAGTCTATAGTCTAGTCTATAGTCTAGTCTATAGTCTAGTCTATAGTCTAGTCTATAGTCTAGTCTATAGTCTAGTCTATAGTGCTAGTCTATAGTCTAGTCTATAGTCTAGTCTATAGTCTAGTCTATAGTCTAGTCTATAGTCTAGTCTATAGTCTAGTCTATAGTCTAGTCTATAGTCTAGTCTATAGTCTAGTCAGTCTATAGTCTAGTCTATAGTCTAGTCTATAGTCTAGTCTATAGTCTAGTCTATAGTCTAGTCTATAGTCTAGTCTATAGTCTAGTCTATAGTCTAGTCTATAGTCTAGTCTATAGTCTAGTCTATAGTCTAGTCTATAGTCTAGTCTATAGTCTAGTCTATAGTCTAGTCTATAGTCTAGTCTATAGTCTAGTCTATAGTCTAGTCTATAGTCTAGTCTATAGTCTAGTCTATAGTCTAGTCTATAGTCTAGTCTATAGTCTAGTCTATAGTCTAGTCTATAGTCTAGTCTATAGTCTAGTCTATAGTCTAGTCTATAGTCTAGTCTATAGTCTAGTCTATAGTCTAGTCTATAGTCTAGTCTATAGTCTAGTCTATAGTCTAGTCTATAGTCTAGTCTATAGTCTAGTCTATAGTCTAGTCTAGTCTATAGTCTAGTCTATAGTCTAGTCTATAGTCTAGTCTATAGTCTAGTCTATAGTCTAGTCTATAGTCTAGTCTATAGTCTAGTCTATAGTCTAGTCTATAGTCTAGTCTATAGTCTAGTCTATAGTCTAGTCTATAGTCTAGTCTATAGTCTAGTCTATAGTCTAGTCTATAGTCTAGTCTATAGTCTAGTCTATAGTCTAGTCTATAGTCTAGTCTATAGTCTAGTCTATAGTCTAGTCTATAGTCTAGTCTATAGTCTAGTCTATAGTCTAGTCTATAGTCTAGTCTATAGTCTAGTCTATAGTCTAGTCTATAGTCTAGTCTATAGTCTAGTCTATAGTCTAGTCTATAGTCTAGTCTATAGTCTAGTCTATAGTCTAGTCTATAGTCTAGTCTATAGTCTAGTCTATAGTCTAGTCTAGTCTATAGTCTAGTCTAGTCTATAGTCTAGTCTAGTCTATAGTCTAGTCTAGTCTATAGTCTAGTCTAGTCTATAGTCTAGTCTAGTCTATAGTCTAGTCTATAGTCTAGTCTAGTCTAGTCTATAGTCTAGTCTATAGTCTAGTCTATAGTAGTCTATAGTCTAGTCTATAGTCTAGTCTATAGTCTAGTCTATAGTCTAGTCTATAGTCTAGTCTATAGTCTAGTCTATAGTCTAGTCTATAGTCTAGTCTATAGTCTAGTCTATAGTCTAGTCTATAGTATAGTCTATAGTCTAGTCTATAGTCTAGTCTATAGTCTAGTCTATAGTCTAGTCTATAGTCTAATCTATAGTCCAGACTATAGTCTAGTCTATCGTCTAGTCTATAGTCCAGACTATAGTCTAGTCTATAGTCTAGTCTATAGTCTAGTCAATAGTCTAGTTTATAGTCTAGTCTATAGTCTAGTCCAGTCTATAGTCTAGTCTATAATCTAGTTTATAGTCTAGTCAATAGTCTAGTCTATAGTCCAGTCTATAGTCTAGTCTATAGTCTAATCTATAGTCTAATCTATAGTCTAGTCTATGGTCTAGTCTATAGCCTAATCTATAGTGTAATCTATAGCCTAGTCTATAGTCTAATCTATGGCCTAGTCTATAGTCTAGTCTACAGTCTAGATTTTAATAAAAAATATGGTTGAAAATATTTATTATTTCAATATTTAATAAACATAACCTTGTTCTAATTATTATTTGTTTTTAAAAAATGTTTAAATAAAAAAAATTGAACTAAATATTTAAAAACTACTTAAAAAAAACAACTGTGCAAACTATTAGTTTACATGAACAAAATCATATTTACTTAAAAAATATTCAAAATTTCAAACTTTTTCCAATTTTTTCACAAAATATAAATGCAAAAGGTGGTCGAACCTCTTAGAACATTTTCATAAATGAAGACGTCATTGAGGGTTAGGTACCGCATACGAAACTTCGAGTTTGAAATTCGAAAGTATTTTATTTTGATACTAATTACGACGTATCCCCCTAAGGTTATAATTTGTTTATTTGCAGCCAAAAAATTTATATATTTGTTTTAATTCATATCATTTTTCACTTTTTAGCACAATAAAATTAAAAGTGTTTATTTTAAAAACAAATAAATAAACGTTGAAATGTTTCCTTTCTGCTAAATCGTTGATTTTGCAAATTTTTCATAAAATCAAAAAATATTAATCAAATTAACTTAGTTGGTGGCACGAGTACTGCTGTAAAATATCTCTTAAATATTTATAAAAAATATGATGTAATAAAAGTCAGAAAATTAAAAAAATACTTAATTAATAATTAACAAACATTTGACATGTGAAAACTGTAGTGATATATTAATATTGATTTAATGTAAAGTTAAAATATTTTTAGCAAAAAAATTTATATTTTCAATGAAATTGTGTAAGCTTTTGACTGGGCCAAGTTTATATATCTAACAAAGGAATTATCTTAAGAAAAAATTTGATTAATTGAATTTAGTTTTAAAAAAGTAATCGGAAGATATAGTGTAATAGTTGAAGAGTATGTCATTTGAAAGCTCTACAAACAAAACATTTGTTCCAATTTATGCAGCGGGTATGAGGCTCAAATTAAAAGGGGAACGGGACAAAATCGAAAAAGAGGGGGGCGAAACGGAGGGGAAGAGGGCGCGGCCGGGAAGGGAAACGAGGGAAGGGAAAGAGGGGGGCCGGGAGGGGAGGAGGGAGGGGGGAGGCGGGGAAACCACGGGAGGGCGAACGAACGAGACGAACGAACGAACGAACGAACGAACGAACGAAAACGAACGAACGAACGAAACGAACGAACGAACGAACGAACGAACGAACGAACGAACGAACGAACGAAAACGAACGAACGAACGAAAGAACGAAAGAACGAACGAAACGAACGAACGAACGAACGAACGAACGAAACGAACGAACGAACGAACGAACGAACGAACGAACGAACGACGAACGAACGAACGAACGAACGAACGAACGAAACGAACGAACGAACAAACGAACGAACGAACAAAGAACGAACGAACGAACGAACGAACGAACGAACGAAGAACGAACGAACGAACGAACGAACGAACGAACGAACGAACGAACGAACGAACGAACGAACGAACGAACGAACGAACGAACGAACGAACGAACGAACGAACGAACGAACGAACGAAAAAGAACGAACGAACGAACGACGAACGAACGAACGAACGAACGAACGAACGAACGAGAACGAACGAACGAACGAACGAAACGAACGAACGAACGAACGAACGAAACGAACGAACGAACGAACAACGAACGAACGAACGAACGAACGAACGAAC